GCTGTCCAAGATCTGCCTAAGCCTTGAGTCATATTTTGTTTGGCAAGGGGGTTAAACTTCTCTAGAAACTCGAAGGCTACTTCTGAGGATGATAATTGTACCATTGTAATATTCCCGTTCTCCTAGCACTAGAATCACAGACGCCAGCTCCGAAGCCCTAGGGTGATTTCAAGCCGTCTGTGTACCATTGCAGGAAACTAGCCTGGAAGCGCCAATACTATCGTCCGATGCTGGTGAAAATCTCTGACTGAACCCTGTGAGAGGCTATTGCTTAGGCCTTCGACCTCTGCATTCCTGCGAATCATCGGATCTAGCAAAGACTGTTGTACCAACACACATGCATTTCATTTCCTCGATGCAAGTTGTTGAAGGCTCGTGCAGGGGCCTTCAGCAACAATCGGAGTTATCTGGTTATAGATATTATGAAGTTCCGGATTTCAAAAAACCTATTAGTGTAGGTAGCGGGATATCGATCCAAATGTCAGTGGAAGAATTGCTACCACTGGCGATCACGGAGGAGTACTAGATTCTACTCAGCGTGTCGCCAAAGGTCACACCTGGTGTTTGTCCGAAAAGGGTACTTTTATCGACTCGACACAGACTTCGACATTGTATGCAGCGGAGTAACCGGAAATACTTGCATGGAGGAAGAGCTTTTGAGGTCAGCCTCTACCTCGAGCCACGCAGCCGCAAACCGGTATGGGCCAAGGAAGAAGGTTAGCAAGAGGCAACAAAAGGCTCTTAACCAGAACGAGGGAAACCAAAAGACAGCGGTCAACAGGAGAAAAAAATCTCCAAACAACCACATCAAATTGCTACGGTTTCAGACGACCAGCCAAGGTGCTCCAGGAAGGTGACGCCAACCAGTGAGATAGCCAAACGACACCTGACGACGTACATAGAGTGGATCGACCAAATCAATATTAAAAGGCAGATGATGCTGGAACTTTTGAAGCAACTCGATGTGCTGAGCTCGTAGTCAATTATCTAAAGACATAGCAGCTAAGATTATTCTTTATGTTTTGCAATGCAAAAACATTTCCAAGGTGGGATTGCATGATAACAGTTAGTTGGAGTACTTAATATGCGTAGGGCGCCATGGATAATGAGAGAGGTTAAGTTCAGACTCTGTCTTTACACTGATGGCGTAGGCCCGAGCTCAATAATTTGTCGGAGTCGGAGCTTAAGCTAACTCTTTATGCATTAGGCCCATTATCTTGCACCATTTCCTGCATTAAAGCTAGAACTGACATCGAATGAAGAATATATAACATGAAGGTAACGAAATGGTAAACTAGAACCTCCCCTGTGTCATTGCCTAGCTTTCGGAAGCCCTTTGTTCACCTTACTGAAGGAAAATAGCAGCTCAAGGAATAGACATTTCGAGAACTCGCCAAAAAGTGCCTTTTAAAGGTCTACAGAAGGAATGTTAATTCCGGAATCCCGGCCTTTTTAAGTCCCGAAAAGCCCGGAATTCTTGGCTAAAGATCCCGGGATTTTCGGGATTTGTAATTTGTACTGATGGCAATGATAAAAACTCTTTTTCTTGGCCAGTATTGGCGGTATTAATTTTTTTATTTTATTATTAATATTTTTTCTTAAATGTCTAGCTCATTATACATATTTATAACACCTTGCGATATTAAATTTTACACACAAAAATCAATATATTCGTAAAACCATGGGCCAATTATTGTAAAATTGCGTTTCTAGTTTTTCACCCTGACGTAAGTAATTCCAAAATGATTGAAAAAATTCAGTCAAATGTGCTAAGAGAAGAATTATGCGTAAGAGGAAATTCTGTAGAATTTAATCAGATTTAATTTGTTTGTGCATATGGACTGGTACATATTGAAAATGTTATATTAAAATTTGTTCCTTGAAATTTCTCAATATTTGTTTTTGAAAAAATTATATGTTAAAGACTTATATAAACTAGATAACATCCTCGAATTTCGTCCTTCTAACTTTATCAGCTTAAAAAATTACATACTCGTCCTTGTCACTTCAAAAAATTATTATTTTTTTTAATTCAAAAAAAAATTCCTACCTTCTTTCCTTCCTTTTATTTGGTACCCATATTTTGATTCTACAATGCATTGAATTTTTTTAAATGATTTTTGGAATTAATCATATCTTTGAAATGACAAAATCCTTTAAAATAAATCTTGACGTCAAAGAGAAAAAATAAAAATGCCACTTTAAATAAAAAAGTAGGTTTCAAACCGATTTATTTATTAAGTATTTATTTTATGGTAGGAGAGCTTCTCAAACAATTTAGAAGCAATTTTTTCGATTTAAGTTATTGAAAAGCAATGAATATCTAAATCCCGGGACTAATCCCGGGATTCCGGGCTTGTGATAACGACATTCCGAAAATCCGGGGATCGTAAAAAGCCAAAAAATTAACATCCCTAGTCTACACTTTCTTCGTAACACTGAGCGCCAACTAATGCTGTATGCGAGATCTCACGAATCAAGCAAGCTAAGCTGAACGTCTAATTTTTCTATGTTCCTGGTTAATATGGCCTATCTTCCGCGGAACCCCTCCCTAGCGAAATTAAGTAGATTTAATTTTGTCACCTTCACTGTGGTTAAGTATGTATGCATGTACATTAGGGTGCATCACCTGAAAAAATTCGGTTTCCACCGGAGTTAAATAACTTAATATGCGCTAAATTATCCTGGTTTCGCCCAAAAAAAAATCACCCGAAAATTTTCCAACCGACCATAGTAATACATAGAAATGAAAAGTGGAAAGTGAACCGGTTCCGCAGAAATGAAACTCATGATAAGGCTGAACATATTTTTTGAGACTTCTGCCAAAAAATTCCGGAAAAATATTAAGATTTACTTGAGCTAGGCTGATTTTAAATACCACCGAAAATTGCATTATTTTGATTCCGTTGATAATATTTTCAAACATTTTTATGCAGCCATTTTAAGCTTAAACTCTTCTATCATCTGGGGCGATTTTTTTAGAAAAAATATTTTTTAAACTTAATTTTATACATATACAAAAAAAAAAATTTGTGGAGGTATTTTCAAATAGATACAGCTCGCCGCCGAAATATTTTGGCGAACGTCTTAAAGTAAAGCAATAATAATTTTTATAATTTCGCGTTGTTTTTGGTACTAACACTTTAAAATTTTCATTGAAGGTGTATTTTAATAGATCCTGATGTATCCTCCCAAAATCTGTGAAAAACGCAGTTTCGAAAAAATTGTTGGTTAGGGCCTTTGAGAATTCAGGTAACGATGTGTATGCATATATAGGGGCTCCAGCTTTGTGCTATCGCATTCAAGGGAGAATTTTTTCAATGGAATTGTGTACAAACTTTTAAGACCTTTATTGTTTTATTAACTGTATAACCGCAATCACTATTGGATTAACTAATTAATTCTGTAGAATTTTGATTTTTGTTTCTTTGCTTCTTCTTTATCTGTTCAGGACCTGAAAAATTTAAATGTCTTCGGTTTCTTATTTTCTAGATGTGACAAATAGTGTTTGCATTTTTTAGTTATTTTTTATTTTTTAGGTGTTTTTTATCCCTTTAAATCATCCCTGGAAAATTTCTGCCAGCAACACTAAATTATAACAAACAATATTTTTTCTTTGCACATATTTCTTTTTTGTAATAACAAATATTGATTTTGTCAAAATTTTAAGTCAGAAAGAGGGAAAATATAAAAAAAAAACAAACAAATATATTAAAATTAAACTTGTGTAAATTTTTTTTATTGCAGAATCGCGACGTTGAACACAAAAACATAAGTTTTCAAAAGAGGACACAAAGTTTAATATTTTCTTCCTTGGAAAGTGAAGGACAATAAATTAATGAAGCAACATGGGAAATGGCATGAACAAGGTAAATTTGAAATAATTCAGTATTCCGTGAACTTACAGGTTTTTACACGAACTTGAGCGATTTTTGGAGAGTTGTGTAGAGAATGAAGTTGCAAGATTTTACCCGAACTTTTTCTTTTGGTAAAATCCTTAAGTGTAAAGCGATCACTGGTTGACGTTTTTACAGGAAAATGCTTTTTTTATTCCCGATATCCTGCCTGGTACAATTAAAAAATGTAAATGCAAATTCCACTATCTTGCGGGAACTTTACATTTATTGCCGCTTCCACCTTACACAGTGCCATCTGTCGACTTAGCAGCGAGATAAATTGTTCAGTTTGTTGCAATTGCCAGCACACAATAAAAATCTTTCTACAGTCTAAATGGAGTGCGGATAATAAGTGAAAAGCAATTTTAAAGATTTATTTTATAAAATATTGCGAAATTTTAGCTACTGAAAAATTAGTGATTTAATTTTTCTTCAAATGTTTAGCATTATTTGGTTAAAAAATATTGCGGCTCGCATGCAACACTGCTTTCGGTGAGAGCGCATATTTTTCGGAGCTCTCTGCGCAGTCAAAAGCAAAATGTAAACAAAACACAAATCAGCTGTTTTGCTGCAACAAACCAATAGTTGGCATGGCCATTGACTATTAGCTAGAAAACTGAAATTAAAATAAAACAATGCACAGCTAGGAAGTTTGTAGCCTCGGAAGAATATATCACTGTTTTATTTATTTAGGCGTATAAAGCAGGATATAGGAAGTGTACATTCCAAAGTTTCAACAAATGCTGTCGTATCTACAGAGTAAATCCCACAGGGTTTAGGGCAAAGTCCCTCTGACAACGCAGCATGGATTGGCACATGAATTTGGCAAGCGGGGTTTTATTTATATAAAAAAACTTTGCTTCTCAAGTTATTCTCTTACTAATGTATCTATTTTCCCATCATTCCAGGTACTACCCGGCCTCTATGTAGGCAATTACCGCGATTCGAAAGATCAACAGCAGCTGGACAAGTATCAGATTACACACATTATAGCTATACACGATAGTCCACGGCGTTTGCTGCCGGTAAGCATATACAACCACACTACATAGTAATTGCCACTTTTTAAATAAATTGTTCACTTTTGCCCCTCTTCCGCCACAGGACAAACACTATCTCTGCGTCATGGCTGCCGATACGCCCGATCAGAATCTATCGCAATATTTTTCTGTTTGCAATGATTTCATACATGCCGCCCGATTGCGTGAAGGTAATGTGCTCATTCATTGTTTAGCCGGCATGTCGCGTTCGGTCACTGTTGCTGTGGCGTACATAATGACCGCCACGAACTTAACTTGGAAGGAGGCGTTGAAGGTAGTGCGCACTGGGCGGGCTGTTGCCAATCCGAATATCGGTTTCCAAACACAGCTGCAAGAGTTCGAAATGTATCGCTTGGTGGAAGAGCGTAAGCGTTTGCGTGAGCGGTTTCCTTCGACTGCACTGGAGCAATTGGATCGTTCCAAGTGTTCAGCAGCATTGGACAACTACCAAGAGTTATTGCAAAATAAGGATATATGCGAGGGAAATTGTGTTCGGGGCGAAAAATGTCCAACAGGTGCGATGATAGTATTGCCTTTGAATGGTGGTGGGGAAGTTAATGTTATTGAGAAGGCGGGGAGCCAAGTGCCAGCAAGTGGTAACGACGAAACGGGTGCTGCGTCAAATAATTCGGTGGCTTATATGATCTCTTTTGCAACTGAAAATTGGAAAACTTTAAATGTAAATAATAGTGGTTTGGAAAAAGGCGGCGATGTAGATGATGAACCGGATATTGATGCTATTTGTGAACCGCAGGTTCAAGAAACGCAAGCAAATAAAGCAGATAATGATGATAGCGATACTGAATCCGATGAAATAAGCTGTGAAGATAATCAAGTTGGCGAGCAGATGATGGAAAACGTTTTGTACTATCGCCCACTGCATGCCGATGAAGTGCCCAATGTATCACCAGCACTCCGCTAGGCGAACGTTGAACAAATGCTATGCGAAAGAGCTAAATTGATGAGCTGTTAAAGACTGTCAACGATGTTTAAAATTTAATTAGTGTAATTTAATCATAGTAAACCGCATATACTGTAAAAATTTGCTGTAAAAGCATATTGCGCTCGTCGCTCGCTCAAGCTAAAGCTTTTATTATATTGTCGTTTATTGCAAACTTATTTCTTGTATTTTCATTTATATTTCACTTGCTTCTCTTTAAATTTATACCCGTTTTTCCACACACTTTCTTCATGCAGGTGTCTGCAATATGGACCCTTCAAAAGGTCTCTTCCGTCGACGGCCATCCACAGCTTCGACCCGTTCACGCCTTCGCGGCCAACCCTCTTCGTCCAGCGCGTCTGCGTCGCCTTCGATATCAGGTTCTGGCATTAGCAACGTAATCGCAACTAACGTCGCGCAATCGTGTCCGACATCGCCAAGCCACTCACAGGTTACAAGGCGTTCACTGGGCGGTCAAAAAATACCCGAAGACGAAGAAGCGCGTAGTGCTTCTGTAACAGGG